AGCAACGGATCAAAGCTGGACAGAGAATGACTTTGATGAGTTGAGAGAAGAAGGCCTCAGTCCATCAAACTTCTCAGAGCTAAAGGAGGAATTACACTCAGTGTAAAAGAAGCTAAAAATCTTGAAAAAAGAATGGAAGAATGGATAACTAGAATAATCAGAGAATGCCACAAAGATACTCCTCGAAAAGAGCAACTCCAAGACACATAATTGTCAGATTCACCAAAGAAATGAAGGAAAATCTGTTAAGTGGTAGCCAGAGAGAAAGGTCGTGTAACACACAAAGGAAGCCCATCAGACTAACAGCAGATCTCTCAGCAGAAACTTCTATGCTTGTGAAGAGAGTAGGGGCCAATATTCAACATTCTAAAGAAAAGAATTTTCAACCCAGAATTTCATATCCAGCCAAACTAAGTTTCATAAATGAAGGAGAAATAAAATCCTTTACAGACAAGCAAATGCTTAGATTTTGTCATCACTCAAGCCTGCTGTACAAGAGACCTGAAGGAAGCACTTAACATGGAAAGGAAGAACCAGTACCAGCCATTGGCAAACATGCCAAAATGTAAAGACCATTGACACAGGAAGAAACTGCATCAACTAACGAGCAAAATAATCCTGCTACTATCATAATGACAGGATCAAGTTCACACATAGCAATATTAACCTTACATGTAAATGGACTAAATGGCCCAATTAAAAGACACAGACTGACAAACTGGATAGCATATCAAGACTTGATTGTGTGCTGTATTCAGGAGACTCCATCTCATATACAGAGACACACATAGGCCTAAAATAAAGGGATGGAGGGAAGATCTACTCTAGCAAATATAGAACAAAAAAAGCAGGAGTTGCAACTCTCATCTCTGATAAAACAGACTTTAAAACCATCAAAGATCAAAAGAGACAAAGAAGGCCATTACATACGGTAAAGGATCAATTCAACAGGAAGAGCTATAACTATCCTAAATATATGCACCAATACAGGAGCACCCAGATACATACAGCAAGTCTCAGAGACTTACAAAGAGACTTAGACTTACACAATGATAATGGGAGACTTCAACACCCCACTATCAACATTAGACAGATCAACGAGACAGAAAGTTAACAAGGATATCCAGGAATTAAACCCAACTCTGCACCAAGCAGACCTAATAGACATCTACAGAACTCTCCATCCCAAATCAACAGAATATACATTCTTCTCAGCATCACATCGCGCTTTATTCGAAAATTGACTACATAGTTGGAAGTAAAGTACTCCCTCAGCAAATGTACAGAACAGAACATAACAAACTGTCTCTGACCACATGTAATCAAACTAGAACTTGAGATCAAGAAACTCAATCAAAACTACTAACTACATGGAAACTGAACAACCTGCTCCTGAATGACTAATAAGATATTAACGAAATGAAGGCAGAAATAAAGATGTTCTTTGAAATCAATGAGAACAAAGATACAACATACCAGAATCTCTGGGACATGATGTGCCTTAAAGCAGTGTGTAGAGGAAATTTATAGCACTAAATGCCCACAAGAGAAAGTTGAAAGATCTAAAATTGACGCCCACATCAAGCAATTAAAAGAACTAGAGAAGCAAGAGCAAACACATTCGAAAGCTAGTAGAAGGCAAGAAATAACTAAGATCAGAGCAGAACTGAAGGAGAGGAGACACAAAAAGCCCTTCAAAACATCAATGAACTCGGAGCTGGTTTTGAAAAGATCAATAAAATTGATAGACCGCTAGCAAGACTAATAAAGAAGAAAAGGAGAAGAATCAAATAGATGCAATAAAAAAATGATAAAGGGGGATATCACCACCAACTCCACCAAATACAAACTACCACAAGAGAGTAAAACACCTCTATGAAATAAACTAGAAACCTGTAAAGAAACGGACAAATTTCCTGACACTTCCTACACACTCCCAAGACTAAACTAGAAGAAGCTGGAATCCCCGAACAGACCAACAGCAGGGCCCTGAAACTGAGGCACAAACCAACAGCTCACCAACCAAAACGTCCAACCGCACTTGATCCACGCCCAAACCCACTACTGTCTTTGATTCAACCCGACTGACAAATACAAAAATCCCTCAATAAATACCACAAACCAGATTCAGCAGCATATCAAAAAGCTATCCACTATGATTTCAAGGGGTTTATCCTGGGATGGTTGGGCTGGTTCAACATATGCAACCAATAAATGTAATCCAGCATATAAACAGTACCAAAGATAAAAACTACATGATTATCTCAATATAGATGCAGAAAAGGCCTTTGACAAAATCTAACAGCCTCTTCATGCTAAAAAAACTCTCAATAAACTAGGTAATATGGAATGTATCTCAAAATAATAAGAGCTATTTTTGGATAAACCTACAATGAATTTAATACTGAATGGGCAAAACTTTGGAAAACGGGCACAAGACAGGGATGCCCTCTCTCACCACTCCTATTCAACATAGTGTTGAAGTTCTGGCTAGGGCAATCAGGCAAGAGAAAGAAATCAAGGGGATTCAGTTAGGAAAGAAGAAGTCAAATTGTCTCTTTTTGCAGATGACATGATTGTATATTTAGAAAACCCCATCATCCTAGCCCAAAATCTCCTTAAACTGATAAGCAACTTCAGAAAAGTCTCAGGATGGAAAATTAATGTGGAAAATCACAAGCATTCTTATACACCAGTAACAGACAAACAGAGAGCCAAATCGTGAATGAACTTCATCCACAATTACTTCAAAGTGAATAAAATACCTAGGAATCCAACTTACAAGGGATGTAAAGGACCTCTTCAAGGAGAACTACAAACCACTGCTCAGTGAAATAAGAGAGTACACAAGCAAATGGAAGAACATACCATGCCCATGGATAGGAAGAATCAATATCGTGAAAATGGCCATACTGCCCAGGTTATTTATAGATTCAATGCCATCCCCATCAAGCTATCAAATGAGTTTCTTCACAGAATTGGAAAAACTGCTTAAAGTTCATATGGAAAATCCACAAAGAGCCCGCATCTCCAAGACAATCCTAAGTCAAAAGAACAAAGCTGAGGCATCACGCTACCCCACTTCAAACTATACTACAAGGCTACAGTAACTAAAACTACATGGTACTGGTACCAAAACAGAGATAGACTAAATGGAACATGAACAGAGTCCTCAGAAATAATACTGTACACATCTACAGCCATCTTGATCTTGACAAACCTGAGAAAACAAGAAATGGGGAAAGGATTCCTATTTTAATAAATGGTATGGAAAATGGCTAGCCATAAGTAGAAAGCTGGAAACTGGATCCTTTCTCATTCCTTATGCAAAAATTAATTCAAGATGGATTAGAGACTTAAATGTTAGACCTAATACCATAAAAACCCTAGAAGAAAACTTAGGTAATACCATTCAGGACATAGGCATGGGCAAGGACTTCATGTCTAAAACACCAAAAAGCAATGGCAACAAAAGCCAAAATTGACAAATGGGATCTAATTAAACTAAAGAGCTTCTGCACAGCAAAAGAAACTACCATCAGATGAACAGGCAACCTACAGAATGGAAGAAAATTTTTGCAATCTATCCATCTGACAAAGGGCTAATATCCAGAACCTACAAAGAACTCAAACAAATTTACAAGAAAAAAAAACAAACAACCCCATCAAAAAGTGGGCAAAGGATATGAACAGACGCTTTCTCAAAAAGAAGACATGCATACAACCAACAGACACATAAAAAATGCTCATCATCACTGGCCATCAGAGAAATGCAAATCAAAACTACAATGAGATACCATCTCACACCAGCTAGGAATGGCAATCATTCAAAAGTCAGGAAACAACAGGTGCTGGAGAGGATGTGGAGAAATAGGAATACTTTTACACTGTTGGTGGGATTGTAAACTAGTTCAACCATTATGGAAAACAGTATGGCGATTCCTCAAGGATCTAAAACTAGAAGTACCATATGACCTAGCCATCCCATTACTGGGTATATACCCAAAGGATTATAAATCATGCTGCTATAAAGACACATACACACGTATGTTCATTGCGACACTATTCACAATTGCAAAGACTTGGAATCAACCCAAATGTCCATCAGTGACAGACTGGATTAAGAAAATGTGGCACATATACACCATGGAATACTATGCAGCCATAAAAAAGGATGAGTTCGTGTCCTTTGTAGGGACATGGATGTAGCTGGAAACCATCATTCTCAGCAAACTATCGCAACAACAGAAAACCAAACACCGCATGTTCTCACTCATAGGTAGGAACTGAACAACGAGATCACTTGGACTCGGGAAGGGGAACATCACACACCGGGGCCTATTACGGGGAGGGGATTGGGGGAGGGATGGCATTGGTAGTTATACCTGATGGAAATGATGAGTTGATGGGTACTGACGAGTTGATGGGTGCAGCACACCAGCATGGCACAAGTATACATATGTAACAAACCTGCACGTTGTGCACATGTACCCTGGAACTTAAAGTATAATAATAAAAAAAAAAAAGAAAAATTTATCTATACTGATACTCTAAGCTCTAATGTAATTACTCCAAGTCCTATATAGAATTCTATTATAAATTATATTTTATTTACTAGTGCTTTTATTCTACAGTAAGTACATATATCCTGTTCAGCATATGTTTGAGGGGTTTTTTTTTTTTTTTGTTAATGAAATGTTAAGAACTGAAAATGCTTTATAACAGGATGTATTTCCCTTTAAATTATTAGGTATGTCCCCTTATATCTAATCTTTATGAGTGTGATGGAATTGATCATTATAAAAGATAGGACCTTTTAACCTTATTTCATTATTAAATACAGTTTGTGAAAGGTATAGTATGGGTCAAGGTAAGGATTATGTTGGAGATATGTTGTGCATGATACTTTGCATATAGCTCAAATTATGCCAAAATCTATATTGTTATGTAATGAAAAATAAATGATTTGAAAATTTATGTTCCATTTCTTTTTCCTCTAGGTATTTATGAGCCTCCATTTCTTATACTACTGCAGTGAACCAACATTGGATGTGAAAATTGCCTTTTGTCAGGTGTGTGTTCCTTACAGGTAAAACAAGGTACAGTATATATTCCCTTGTATTTCCACTTTGACATACCATGTGCATACATTCCACACCAAAGTCAGTATTTATATCATATTAAAAGTAGTTTAGGATTGGGAGCTGGCAAGATGGCCAAATAGAAACAGCTCCAGTCTGCAGCTCCCAGCGAGATCAATGCAGAAGACAAGTGATTTCTGCACTTCCACCTGAGGTACCATTAGACAACTTCTGTAATCTCGCTGGGACTGGTTACACAGTGGGTGCAGCCCACAGAGGGCAAGCTGAAGCAGGGTGGGGCGTCACCTCACCCAGGAAGCGCAAGGGGTCAGGGAACTCCCTCCCCCAGTCAAGGGAAGCCATGAAGGAGTGTGCCATGAGGAAGGGTGCACTCTGACCCAGATGCTATGCTTTTTCCATGGTCTTTGCAACCTGCAGATTCCCTCAGGTGTCTACACCACAGGGATCCTGGGTTTCAAGCACAAAACGGGGCAGCCATTTGGGCAGACACCAAGCTAGCTACAAGAGATTTTTTTCATACCCTACTGGTGCCTGGAACACCAGTGAGACAGAACCATTTACTCCCTTGGAAAGGGAGCTGAAGCCAGGGGTCAAGTGGTCTAGCTCAGCGGATCCCACTCCCATGGAGCCCAGCAAGCTAAGATCCACTGGCTTGAAAATTCTCACGGACAGCACAGCAGTCTGAAGTCCACCTGGGATACTCAGGCTTGGTAGGGGGAGGGGCGTCTACCATTACTGAGGCTTGAGTAGGCGGTTTTCCCCTCACAGTGTAAACAAAACCGCCAGAAAGTTCGAACCGGGCGGAGGCCACTGCAGCTCAGCAAAGCCGCTGTAGCCAGACTGTCTCTAGATTCCGCCTCTATGGACAGGGCATCTCTGAACAAAAGGCAGCAGCCTCAGTCAGGGACTTATAGATGAAACTCCCATCTTCCTGGGATGGAGTACCTGGTGAAGGGGTAGCTGTGGGTACAGCTTCTGCAGACTTAAACATCCCTGCCTGCCGGATCTGACGAGCGCAGCAGATCTCCCAGCACAGCAATCAAGCTCTGCTAAGGGACAGACTATCTCCTCAAGTGGGTCCCTAACCCCACACCTCCCAGCATGGGTGGACAGACACCTCATACAGGAGAGCTCTGGCTGGCATCTGGCGGGTGCCACTCTGAAAAAACCTTCCAGAGGAAGGAACAGGCACAATCTTTGCTGTTCTGCACTCTCCTGGTAATACTCAGGCAAACAGGATCTGGAGCGGACCTCCAGCAAACTCCAGCAGAGGGGCCTGTTAGATGGAAAACTAACAAACAGAAAGGAATAGCATCAACATCAGCAAAAAGGACATTCACAGAAAAATCCCATCTGAAGGTAACCAGCATCAAAGACCAAAGGTAGATAAATCCACGAAGATGAGGGAAAACCAGCACAAAAAGGCTGAAAACTCCAAAAACCAGAATGCCTTTTCTGCTCCAAAGGATCACAACTCCTCGTCAGCAAGGGAAAAATTTTGTTCTATTTTGTTAACCTTTTCAAAAAACCAGCTCCTGGATTAATTGATTTTTTGAAGGATTTTTCGTGTATCTATCCTTCAGTTTTGCTCTGACCTTAGTTAGTTATTGTCCTCTGCTATCTTTTGAATTTGTTTACTCTTACTTCTCTAGTTATTTTAATTATGATGTTAGGGTGTTGATTTTAGATCTTCTTCACTTTCTCCTGAGGGCATTTAGTGCTATAAATTTCCCTTTAACCACGACTTTAGCTGTCTCCCAGAGATTCTGGCATATTGTGTCTTTGTTCTGCTTGATTTCAAATAACTTATTTATTTCTGCCTTAATTTACCCAGTAGTCATTTAGGACCAGAAACACCATTTGACCCAGAAATCCCATTACTGGGTATATATCCAAAGGGTTATAAATCATTCCATTATAAAGACCTATGCACAGGTATGTTTATAGCAGCACTTTTCACAATAGCAAAGACTTGCAACCAAACCAAATGCCCATCAGTAATAGACTGTATAAAGAAAATGTGGCACATACACACTATGGAATACTATGCAGCCATAAAAAAGCTGAGTTCATGTCCTTTGCAGCGACGTGGATGAAGCTGGAAACCATCATTCTCAGCAAACTAACACGGGAACAGAAAACCAAACACCCCATGTTCTCACTCACATGTGGGAATTGAACACTGAGAACACATGAATACAGGGAGGGGAACATCACACACCAGGGCATGTTGGCGGGTGGGGGGCTAAGGGAGGGATAGAATTAGGAGAAACACGTAATGTAGATGATGGGTTGATAAGTGCAGTAAACCACCATGGCACGTGTATACCTATGTAACAACTCGCATGTTCTGCGCATGTATCCCAGAACTTAAAGTAGAATTTAAAAAAAAAGTAGTTTAGGAAATGGAAGTGAATAGGTGTGTTGTTTCTAATTCATTTAAGTTAGAATGGGAATAAAAGTATTTTTTTCAAGTTTTATTGTAAAGTGATTTATTCTTTGATTATATTTACACTTCAAGATTTTAATATTTCTTTTCAAATCCTTGAAATGGGACTTTAACCATAAAAATGACTTCATTCTGTACAGTTGTCCCCCCTTATCTGTGGTTTCGATTTCCACAGTTTCAGTCACCCACTGTTAACTGTGGTCCTCAAAATATTAAATTGAAAATTCCAGAAATAAGAACTCATGAGTTTTAGATTGCACGCTGTTCTGAGTAGTGTGAAGAAATCTTGTGCCATCTTGCTCCATCCCACTTAGGTTGTGCAGCATGTCTATATAATGCCACCTGCCAGTGAATTACATAACAGCCATCTCTGTTATCAGATTGACTGTTGTGGTATCACAGTGCTCTTGTTCAAGTAACCTTTATTTTACTTAATTGTTCTATTTTTTATTAGTTATTGTTGTTAATATCTTACTGTGCCTAACTTATAAATTAAACTTTATCGTAGGTGTATATGTATAGGGTTCAGTGCTATCTGTGGTTTCAGGCATCCACTGGGGGGTCTTAAAATGTATTGTTTGAATATAAGGGGAGACTACTGTAGTATTTCTCATCATAACAACTGATTGGCCTCAAATAGAGTATCTCTAAACCCACTATAATAATATACAGGTGGTACTCAGTTTGTTTTGTGATGCCTATTATATCAAACCAGTACTTATAATAGTAAAAATGTTAACCAACAATAATGACAAATAACAGTATACTTAACCTAAAAGGGAAAGTAAGAAGGTGGCAACAACATTTGGTAGTGTGCATGGACTAGATAAGAGTTGACTTCTTTGTATTCATGCGAACCCTATTTTTAAGGAGAAGTCTCCCTAGGGCACCTACATATATTTCAAGTATGTTTAAAACAGTTCTAACTTAACCCTGTTGTCATATATAATTGATAGTACTCTCTTTTACTCTCAAGAATTGTTCTAGTTTGGACAATAAATTATATGTTAACCTTATTCATACTTAAGCAGAGAGCTTCCCTTCAGTATTTCAGCAGTGATTATCATTGCACCTTCTCTTTGAGCTGTGTTGTAAATAGAGACTGACATGCATTTTGAAACAAGATTTTTAAAATAACTCCTTTGCTTTATTTTAATGCAATTTTTCCTGATTCTAGAATTAATATTTATTATAGAAAATATAGAAAAGCATAAAGGGGAACAAAACATAGTTTTTGCATATACTCTATACTTACTGTATCTACTTTCCTTGAGCATAGATTTTCTATGACAAAGTAAAATGTGTTACCTGCTATAAATAAGATTTACTGATCTCTCTCATCTCCCTAAACTGTAATTGTTGCAGTTCCTGAAGCCTCAGGCCACTAGACAACTTCTCTAATAATAACTCCAGTGCTAAACAGCCTTGGTTAAAAATTCCATTTCTATCACTTACTAGCCATTTGCTTGTGACCTTGAGCCAGTTACTTGATCTCTAGTGCTTCAGTTTCTTTTTTTATAAAAGGAGGAAATAATATTGCCTACATTTTAGGCTTGGTATGAGAATTAAATGAGTTTATACTTGCAAAGCACTGAGAGCAGTACTGGAACATGTGTTTGTTAAATAGATGATTAAATTTTAAATAAATTTATACTCACTCTCTGGTGCTCCCACTGAGTCCCAGTGCTTTAAATATTATCATTATCTTGAATATCACACAGTTTTATCTCCAACCCAAACATTTTCCTGGAACTGGACTCATATTCAACTGTCTGTTCTACATCTCCACTTAGATGTCAAATAGGCATATCGGACTGTACGCATTCCAAAGCAACATCTCATCTATCCTCTAAAATTACTCTTCCCATTGTCTACTCTAGCTCAGTAACTGATAACTCCACCCTTCCAGTTATAATAAAATCCTTGGAATCATCTTTTGGGTCACATTCCATATTCAAGCCATCAGCAAATTCTGTTGACTCTATAATTAATTAAAACCTAACTGGAATCTCACCAATTCTCACTATTTTTCCACTACCACCCTGATCCAAGATACCCTTATCTCTTGCTTAAATTATTGTAAGAGCTTCTACTTTTGCCCACCCCCAAGCGGTTTACTCTTAAACATTAGAAAGAATTGTCTTTGAAAAATATAAGTGAGATCGTGTCACTCCTTGACTAAAACCAAAACAAAAGAGAAAGACCTTTCAATGTCTTCCCATCTCACTCAGCAAAATCCTTATAATAAATCCTTATAATAAATCCCCAAGCCTTTATTATCTAGCCCCCTAGAAACCTCTATCCTAAAATATTCTTCTGTTATCCACTTGGACCACTCCTTAACCATCTTCACAGCTTCGCTCAAATGTCATTTTTAAGGAAATCCTTCCTGACAACCCTATTTCAAATTGTCCTAACCACCCGACTGCATACCCAACTTCCCTGCCTCCGTAACAGATCAGTATCTAATGTTCTATTTATGTTGCTGGTCTGGAATTTTGCTTCCCTCTCTCCACTGGAA